CAAATGAGTGACAGCTGTGGGGAGGGGCAGTGGCCAGGTGTGTGGGGGTGAGTGAGCAGCCTCCTCCCTAGGGCAGGTCTGAGGCCCAGGGCCCTGGCCTGTCTCTGGAGGAGCCAGCTTCCTGCCTCCTCTGCCTTCAGGACCCCTCCTCCCAGGCAGGGCACACCTTCCCACCTGGGCTCTCAGGCCCTGACCTTCCCTTACTAACCCTTATGTTCCATTCTTCTTGGTGAAAACTTCCAGGTAGGCGTAGTTCTCTGGCGTTTGGTCAATGCTCACGAATGCCCTTACAGGTGGGTTTCTGCCTCACTTCTGGAGCCAATACACGGCAGCAGCAACCAAAATACTTTTAGCATTTGTGGGCTCTGCTCCAAGCACTGGCCTAGGTGAGGTTTATGATGTTGAGCTCTGCCGCAGTCTGGCTGCAGCAAAATAACCGGGGGGTGACGAAAAACTTGTGTAGATTGATACAGCAGGAGTGGGAGCCGTTTATTGTAGGACAGGAAGGGTGTATATACATTCCACACAGCTTATCTTAATTAACATAAACTAGATACAGCAGTCAACCAATAAGGAATCTCCACACTTAATGGCTCGCTGGCTCCACCTCACAAACCACTCCTCCTGGCAAAATGCCAAGCGCCATCCTGACTTGTTTACAGACTCTTGCAGAGCTCATCTGTCTTCATGATAACATTTGATGTGTCAGAGAGGGTGAATAACCAGAGTTACACAGCAGATAAGTCCATGACTGATTCTCTGTAGCTTATAGAGACTAGATTCTAGTAGGGGAGACAGGAGTGGTTTCTAAAAGCCGTGTGATAAGGGCCGTGGAGAAAAATGAAGGCCAGGGAAGAGGGTGAAGATTGACAGAGGACCCTCCTATAAGCAGGTGGTCAGGGAAGGCCACTGAGGCCAGGAAGCTATAAAAGGAGGGAAGAATTACAGGATGGGCCAGGGCAGGGGACTTTCCCTCTGGTGGAGGGGGCTGCTACCCAAAGTCCTGAAGTGGAAATGACCAAGTTTGACTGCCCTTGGCCAGAAAGAAGATCTGGTGGCCTCAGAGAATGAGTGAGAAGCAAGACGCTGGGAAGCCTGGCGAGAGCCAGTTGTGCCTGTGGGCTGGGCGTGAATTTGAAGTTCACTCAGGAGACGGAAGCCACCCTGGCTGGAGGAGAGGAGCAATATGCTTTGGTTCTCTTTTTGTCTTTGTGGTGCTGGGAATGGACCTAGGGCCTGGGGGAAGGTAGGCAGGTATACCACCCCTGAGCTGCACCCCAGCCCCGGCTCCATTTTCAAAAGCTTGCTCCAGAGGCTGTGTGGAGAGTGGGGTGCAAGGTAAGCATGGAGACAGGCCAGCCAGCGGCCACGGGTGAAACCAGGGTAGGCGTGGCTTGGAAGTAGAGCTGCAGGTCTGGGATCCTCCCCAGCAGACGCCCAGAGCTTGCGGTTGGGGAATGAGGGATTGGGGGCCAGAAAAGGTTGGGGTCAGCCTCATTTGTTCTTGGAGCTCCCAGGGGGCTGGTCCCAACCCTGTTCTTCCCTTCCCAGAGGCTCCAGAGAAGCCATCAAAAGAATTGCCTATGAGTTTGTGGAGATGAAGGCCAAAGAGGGCGTGGTGTATGTGGAGGTGCGCTACAGCCCACACCTGCTGGCCAACTCCAAAGTGGATCCGATTCCCTGGAACCAGGCTGAGTGAGTGATAGCCCTGGAGAGGAGCTGGGATGAGTGGGTCTGTGTTCCACTCTTCTTGGAGAAAACTTCCAGGTTTTTCAGAGGGCTGGACCACTGGGAGCTCCTGACCTTGACCTTGGTCTTGATCCATGGCCTCATGAAGATGGGCTTAACTTGGCCATAGAGATATGGTCCCCCTCCCTCAGCTGGAGGTTCATGATTTACCTTGGACAAAAGTGTTGGCTGTGTCTCACGCCCATGGCTCTGGATGCAGGCCTGCTGTCAGGGCAGGCTCACCCACTTAGCCAGCAGCTCTAAGGGTCCTGCTCAATCCCCTGGTAGGAATGAGTCTGGCCTGCTCTTCCCCCACACTGGGCCCCCGTGGATTTAGAGTGACATCATGAAGCCCGCTTGCCCCACCTTCAGAGCCTCGATTCTGATCCCCGTGGAAGGCAATAATCCGCAGGCTGAGCTTCGTCATGCTCTCTCTCCACCCAGAGGTGGGGAGGGGTGGCCTACACCCCCACACCGGGATCTAGAAGTGCCCAGACTGCTCTAAGAAAGCTGGCAGGGGGTGCTGGGGCTCGGGGTCCTCTCTGTGAGTCTTTCCTCAGAAGCAGTGTGCAGTGGGGGAGACTCCCCACCCCTCAGCGGGGGCTATCCCAGGCCTTCCCTCTGCCTCAGGCTATCACTACTCCTCTCCACACAGAGGGGACCTCACCCCAGATGAAGTGGTGGACATAGTGGGCCAGGGCCTCAAGGAGGGGGAGCAAGCCTTCGGGGTCAAAGTGCGATCCATCCTGTGCTGCATGCGCCACCAGCCCAGTGAGTACCATCAGTGCCTGCCCAGCTGCCCACCTGACCCTGGCCCCAATCTTCTGCCTGGCCACGGGGCCGTACGTGGCCTCCTCCCCATGGTATCCCCTGAGCACATCAGCAGGGTCCTGGAGCTCCCAAAGGCACCAGAGGCCTCTTAGGCTGGCCCCAAACTTCCTGGTGACACTGTCCTCCCTGGGAAAACCAGGCCTTGACAACTAACTACATGACCTGCAGAAAGCTCAAAACCAGAGGAGCCTGAACAATTGATAAACAGCCCATAGTTCTCCCATGAGACCCTGTGGGCCCAGCCGCATCCTGTCCAGGCCACAGAACCCTTGCATGGGCCTGATTTCTGGGATTGCTGAGAGGATGTCCTTGTCCCTAAACCTGATCAAATCTGTAGCAGAGCCCCATCGTGTGCCCTTAGGCAGGCAGGTCATGTCACCTCCCTGGGCCTCAGTGATATGTTATCACAAGAGGATTGTGCTCGTCTCATCCCTCCACCCTAAGAATCTGTGGGAACAAAGCCAAGGGTCAGTGCCAACCTGCAGGGCCCACCCTGGGCAGTGATTCACATGCCTTGTCTCTAGCCCTTGCAGCAGCTCTGAGGTGGGACTACCGTGGTTTATTCCCATCTGACAGATGGGAAACCAAGGCAGAGAAAGGCGAAGGCTCTTGTCCCCTCAGGAAGGCACAAAGCCCCGAGTTAAATCCAGAACTGTGTTTGGTCTGAAGCTTGTGTTCATTTATTCTTTGTCAACAAAACGACGATAGCTGAGGGTAACTCATGCATTCATGGTATGGCTGGCAATACCAGTGTGAGTTGCATTGGAGATACAATGTTAAACTCTGTGTCATCCCCTTTAATTGGGGGGACTGATTGGCACTGAGTGGGAGAACAGCTCAGACTCTGTCCTTGGTACTTTATACATGGCCTCGGCAAAGCCTCACCAGGCCCCTGTGTAGAGGTGGTGGGTTCTCTCTGGGAAGGGAGGAGTCCGAGGCGCGGGGCAGAGCAATTTGACAAAGGCCATGTGGGTGACTCAGCAGCCAGGATTTGAGAAAAGACACTAGGATCTTTGTCCTTTGCTAGCCTCTGTTGGGTGCGTAGGACAGCAGGTAGGAGGGCTGAGGGATCCCGCTCCACCGTGCTGCTGATGGAGCCCTGGTGGGCGTCTCACCACAGACTGGTCCCTGGAAGTGATGGAGCTGTGTAAGAAGTACCAGCATCATACTGTGGTGGCCATCGACCTGGCTGGTGATGAGACCATCAAAGGAAGCAGCTACTTCCCGGGGCATGTGGAGGCCTACGAGGTGGGCCTGTGGAAGGGGAGGCTGGCCCTGGGTGAGCTTCTAGGAAGAACTCATACAGTTGGGGAGTGTGGGGCCTGCTGCATCCCTGAATGTGTCTTGGCTGGGCTGAGGGCTTGGGATTGGGTATAAAGGAAAGTCCTATGTAGCACTGAAGTCCTGTGTTTAAACCTGCATCTGCCTATGATTTGTTGTGTGACTTTGGGGCAAGACTGTCTCTTCTCTGAGTCACTGTTTCCTTGGTTCCACACTTGCTGGTTGGCCTTCGTCCTTCTACTTAGCTCTTCTGAGCTTGTTTCCCTTGGTAAGATGGGTGTTATAATACTATGACTCTCAGATGGTGTACACAAACCATTTCAAACAGTTCCTGACACATGGTAACTGTGGAAGAACTGAGAGCCACAAGCACTTAGATGGTGACTGGGGGAGTCAAGACCAGGCTGCCCAGTGCTGTAGAAGCAGCCAAGCCTGGTGGTGGGACAGTTCAACCTGCCCATACTCAAACCCAAAGTGCAGCGAAGGGTGGGCCTGTGGGTCCTGACTGGCTCTTCCCCTTCCAGGAGGCGGTAAGGAGCGGCATCCACCGCACCGTCCATGCAGGAGAGGCGGGACCTGCAGAGGTGGTCCGAGAGGTGAGAGCCACTGGCCCTGGAGTGGCCCTTGTTCCCTGCCTCCCTCCACCCTCTCTCCATACTCAGCTCCATCTGCTGCTCCACAGGCTGTGGACATACTCAAAACAGAGAGGGTGGGACATGGCTACCACACCCTGGAGGACGAGGCCCTCTATAACAGGCTGCGGCAGGAAAACATGCACTTTGAGGTGAGGGGGCCAGCAGGTAGGGGGAACTGGCCTTGGGTGTCCCATCCCCTCCTGGACAAAGCAATAGAAAGCCAGGAGAGTAAGTCTGGGGTTGTGGCTCAGTGGTAGAATGCTTGCCTAGCATGTGTGGGGCATTGAGTTCAATCCTCAGCAACACATTAAAAAAAATAATAATTTAAATGAAATAAAGTTCTTTAAGAAAAAGAAAGAAAGCCAGGAGGGTCTCAAGAGCTGAGGAGCAGACTAGCCGGCAGGAGCGGCCAGTGGGTGCTCCAGTGCTAGGCATGAAGGGTTTGTAGGGCTCAGCCACACGGAGGCCAGCAACAATGGTGACCCTGGCCACCCCAGGGTGCAGGGACTGGCTGGCGCAGCCTAGGGCTGCCTGCCAGCCACGAACCTGCTCTTGCAGGTCTGCCCCTGGTCTAGCTACCTCACAGGCGCCTGGAATCCAAACACGGAGCATGCTGTCATTCGGTGAGGTCTGGTCCCTGGGACCCATTCGATTTTGTTCCTGGGAAGCCAAGGATGGGAAGGCAGTGCAGGGCTGGGGACCAGCCCATGCTGTGGGATCCCTTTGGGAAGCAGCTTAGCTGTCCTCACCTTCCACACGGGGAACCTGGAACTCAGATGTGCTAGAACTTGGCTGAGGTCACTCACTTACCCTCTGGCAGAGCTGGGGCCCATAGCTCCCCCAGTCATGGCAGAAAACGCACAACCTGGAGGAAAACTTCCACTCTCTTCTCCCTGAGCCTGCAAGGTCAGTCTTGCCTGTGTACGCTGCTCCTGGGGCCTAGGGGTGGTCTTGGTTCCACTTTCCCAGCTCTCAAGCCAAAGCCCTTCTGTCCTGTGACTGAGTGCTGGGTCGTGGTGTCAGACTCTGGGAGAGCCAAGCTGCCTTTTCCCGAGGAGGATGAGGACAGCTGTAACTCAGAGTGACTATGGCGGCCAGTGCTGGCCTGCCTGCCACGCTTAGTGAAGGGAAGGAGAGTGTGATGGCGAGGGTCCCCAGTTGGCCTTGGGAATCTGGAGTCGAGGTGCCCCAGTGGGGGCTTTCCTGGGCATGTGGGCAGACAGCCCGCGGGCTACGAAGGCTCAGGAGCCATCTGCACAGTCATGGTGCCTAAAGGGGAAGCAAAGACACCAGGAGATCGTGGGCCAGAGGCTATGTTCCAGGAGGCCAGGAACATTCAAGGGACAGGAAAAAGACACAGGTAGATGGAAAACCAAAAGTGTCAACCAAAATCTAGGGAAAGCACTTCAAGTAGTGTCAAAGTCTGCTACAAAAGTCAAAGTAAGGGGGTCTGGGTTGTGGCTCAGCGGTAGAGCACTCGCCTGCCATGTGTGAGGCCCTGGTTCGATCCTCAGCACCACATAAAAAAATAAATAAAACAAAGGTATTAAAAACTAATAATTTTTTTTAAAAAGTCAAATAAGGGAATAGCTAGGAAAACTCCATTACATTTAATAAGACAGGGGTCAGGTCAGGGATGCTGCCAAGAGGGGAGTGGAGGGAGGGGACTGAGGACTGGTTGGGGAAGGGTGTGGAGTACCGTCTCTGAGCATGGGCAGGAGGATGGTGGCTGTTGGGCCACTGCTTTCTCAGCGCCCCAGGCCCCCCTCTCCCTGCTCTCCCATCAGGCCCCTCCTCTGCCTGGCTCTGGACTGATGGGATACATTAGGGTCTTAAGTTGCTAGTTAGGTGGCTTTGGACAAAGTCCCCTGGGCTCTGCGATGTGTTTCCTACTCTACCAGAATATGCTCCTTCAGGTCTAAGGCTGTGACGATCCGTGGGGGCTGGGAACCAACATGCAGGGACCATTCACAGGAGAGTGAGGAGGCTCTTCTCCCTCCCTCACCCCAGGTTCAAGAATGACCAGGCCAACTTCTCACTCAACTCAGATGACCCGCTCATCTTCAAGTCCACCCTGGAGACTGACTACCACATGACCAAACAGGACATGGGCTTCACCGAGGAGGATTTTAAGCGACTGGTGAGTGGTTCCTTGCCCTGGGCCTCAGAGCTTTGTGAGCCTGTAGGTCATGTCCAGGGCTTAGGACCCCCATTGAATGGGAGTTGGTTTGTTGATGGGAGTCCACCATAAGCCAAGCCTACTGCCAGCTGCCTTCTGCAGAGGGGACACCTTGGTGATGGCGTCTTGGGTTTAGCCTCTGCTTAGGCTGAGCATCTTCAAAGACTCCTTTCCCCAGAATGGTGTGCCTAGCTTAGAAATGTGTTCTTAGATCCCAGGCTGATCCCGGGGTCTGGGGACATGATGCCATTACTCCCTGCAAGGGTCTCTGGCCCCACACTTCCAAGGATCTTCCAGTCTCCAACATTCTCCGCACATCCTGTATCATGTAGTGCCACTTTAAGAACACTCTTCCCTGGCACTTGATGCCATGTGACCCAGGACAAGTCCTTCCCCTGAGCTCCCCTGCCCGTGCTCTAAGGAGGATGGACTACCAGTAGGTTGCCAAGGGCTCCCTTCCTTGCTGTCTGGTTCTATGTGGTCTGTCACCCTGGCCCTTCTAGAACATCAATGCAGCGAAGTCCAGTTTCCTCCCAGAGGATGAGAAGAAGGAGCTCCTTGACCAGCTCTACAGAGCCTACAAGATACTGCCAGCTGCCTCTGGTATGCTCCTATCTGGGCGACTGCCTTACCCTGGCTCCTACAACTTTCTGTGACTTCTTCTAAGAACCCTTCTTCTCTCAGGCAGTAACAAGAATGGGCAATGAGTGCCTGGTCCCTGGGCCAGGGTTGGTGACAGCTTCAACCAATGGGTTTATTTTCTGTAGAGCTAGCACAAGGGTAGACTTGTGAAGGCCAGTTCCAAACTCCTGGGCAGCCTGGGCATCTCTAAGGCTGTCTAAAGCCAAAGCCCAGGAGTTGGACCAGATCCTGGTTCATTCTGCTCCCTCCTTCCTGTGGCCTTGGAAAGGCATCTTATTCTCCTTGCCATCTAAAGAAGGGAGCTCCTTCCTGGTTTTGGAGTTCTCTGAGTTTTACAGTATCCAGGGACTATGAGTGTTGGCCTGATCTTTCTGCTTCTCTGACCTGACCAGCAGGGCAGAACCCCTGAAGACAGCATGGCCCCCTCTCCAAGCCCTCACCCTGTGGATGGAGTCTTCACAACTCTGGGATCAAGCGACATTCTTACCTGTATTCCTTCCAGGAAGACTGATTTTAAGAGCTACTGATGCTCTCAAGCCTATATAAACACAGAACTTGGCATGGCTGCATCTCTCCTCTGATTATGTGCCTTGGCCAGGGCCGGGGCCCTTGCCAATGGCATGGATGATTCTGAGGCAATACTTGCTGAAAATCTTGTGGGAGACCAACCTTACACATGACTGGGTTACACTCCCCGGCTGGATGCTGAAGTGCTTAGTTGCAGAAATATGGCAGAGCTTTCCCCACCCTTCTTTGGTACAAGGGACACTTTCTTGTTCATGTGTGTGTCTTGCTATAGCCCCATGAGTGAAGCTATGCTCACCTGTACTTTGTAATATAACCTCTTGCTCTGTTTAGGATAGAATCTTCCATGGAAGTGCCTTGTGTGTGTCCCCTTCTCTTACTGTGCCCTTGGGTGTGGCCTACCCAGATGTCAGTCAACCTGCTGACAGTGGACATCATGAAGATACTCAGCCCCCTGAAACCTGACCCCTTGCCTCATTTGAATAGCTTCTCCTCAATAAAAGGGGTCAGTGAGTGCTCTCTCTCTCTCTCTTCCTGGGGACCCTTAAGGTCAGAGGAGAAGTCACAGCAACCCCAAAGAAAAAAGTATTTGTGTCTCTTGTGTGGTTATTTCATGCAGCCCAGTTAGCCCAGTTTAACTGGAGTGACCCCTGAGCCTTTTAGTTGTGAGAACAGAAACCTGGCAATTGGCGTCCAACGTGGGCCAAAAGGTCAGTGTCTTTAAGCTGCCGGGAGAAAAGCAACAAATGCTTGTTCTTAAGGGGGCTCCAATTTAAATATTAAAAGTTTAGTGAAGTTGAGTTCTCTCCAGAAGTTAAGCATGCTTAGGATTGTAGAGTATTGTGGGCTAAATTGTAGAAAGTAAGTGAATTAGACAAAAGGAAAATCTGTGATGTTAAAATTTTTAATGTCGGGGTATAATTGTAGAGATTCTAAATAAATATAGTTATTAAAAAGGGAGAGAAAATGTTATGATGTTTACCTGGAGAGAAAAAAGTTTCAATTTTCTATTGTTTTTGTCAATACTCAAAAAGTATGTACTAACCTTTTTGCTATATGATTGTCCTATGAATCAGAATGGCTATAATTCAGCTGCTGGGGACAAGAGACTTTAGCTGCTGCAGCTTGCTGCTCACTAAGGGGTCCTAGCCCCAGGGGCCAGCAGCGCTTTTAACCCTTAAATGACTTGACCTAAATGCCGAACACAGACTGATCTGATGGTAACGCTGGTGTCTGCTGCTAAAAAACTTTTGGAGCACCCACGTGCCACAGATAAAAGTGCAGGTTGGGCCATTCCGTGGACGCCAGGTGAGCTAGCGCATCTCTAGACGCTGAGCTGGAGTAGGAGCAGGAAGATCCATCGGATCGTGTGGATTTGAGCCTCCGCATTTCTAACCCATGATCTTGAAATGCATCCTGATTCTTGTCCATTGGACTGTAAAGTTTATGGAGGTAATCTTGGAAACAATGGCATCAAGACCGAATTGGAACAGGCTTTTGGCTACTATGGACCACTCTGAAGGGTGTGGGTTGCTAGAAACCCTCCCGGCTTTGCTTTTGTTGAATTTGAAGATCCCTGAGATGCAGCTGATGCTGTCCGAGAGCTAGATGGAAGAACACTTTGTGGCTGCCATGTAAGAGTGGAACTGTCCAATGGTGAAAAAAGAAGTCGAAATCGTGGCCCACCTCCATCTTGGGGTCGTCGTCCTCGAGGTGATTATCGTAGGAGGAGTCCTCCACCTCGCTGCAGATCTCCAAGAAGGAGAAGATTCTCTCGCAGCCAGAGCAGGTCTTTTTCTAGAGATAGGAGAAGAGAGAGATCACTGTCTCGGGAGAGAGATATCACAAGCCATCCCGATCCTTCTCTAGGTCTTGTAGCCAATCTAGGTCAAATGAAAGGAAATAGAAGATCAGTTTGCAAGAGAAGTGGTGTACAGGAAATAACTTCATTTGACAGGAGTATGTACAGAAAATTCAAGTTTTTTCATAGCTGAAGTATAATACACAGGTGTAGATGAACACAGGCAAGCAGGTAAAGATGATAAAATTGGCACTATTAAACTAGAGGTTTTGTAAAATCCAACTAGTCTTCACCCCTGGGCAGAGGTTGCCTAGCTGGTATAGAATCTGATAAGTTTCAAGAAAATTTACCTTTGCTTAGGTCATAAGTTCTTATGTGATTGCTGTATGTGAATGCATAGCTATTTGTAACGTTCATTATTTGTAAATTTGAGATTTTAAAATACCAATGTCCAGCCAATTTAAGGGTACATTGTAGAGCTAAACTTTTTTGAGTCACTGTGCAAGATTTTTTTTTCCCCATGCTGTCATTTGTAATATGTTTTGTGAGAATCCTTGGGATTAAAGTTTTGGTTACAAAAAATAAAAAAATAAAAAAGTGCAGGATGCAGGAGTACACAGGCTGCAACCAGCTAGGAAAACTTGGGGAACTTTTGCCCTGACTAGGGCAGCAGACTCCATGGTGTTTGCGTCACCATGGAAAATATGAGGTGCCTGGCAGGAAGAGCAGGCTTCCTGTTCCCACCACCCACACTTTTTCGGGCTTCTGATTGGTTCTTCCACAGTCCCTCAGACAGGACTTCTAGTTCCACCTTCCAGCCACCAACCTGTACTTCCTCTTTCAGACTGCTTACCAAAGCTACTCAGCCTGTATTTTTAAGAATGCCTACCTGTAAATGCTAACGAAAGATATCTTTTTTAGACAAAATTTAATTCCACAGATTTCTGTGTTGCAGCCCTAAATTTAAGTTAGTTCTGAGTTAAATAACCTGACTTTTCTCTATAGTTGTGTTACTAAATAATGTTCTATTAATAAGAGATATCAAACATGCTTGTTTGTATTTAACTTTAATTTTGGAGATTATGGGGATGCATTTGCTCGCCACAGGAACAAAAGCTGGCAATGTTCCTGTGATCACCAAAAAATCCTTATTCTCATTCCTAACTATAAAAAATAAATATGTATACTCAAGGATCTTATTTCAGTTACATCAAGTGACGTCACATAAAAGAGTGCACTCCTTAAATTGAAATGGATCCAAATATTTTAAAAACCACGTGGTTACATAAAGTTAATACAATTATAAGTTATGTCCTTATTCTTAATATATATTTTTCTAGATATTCAGACAACCTATATTTGTTAATCTATAAAATAATTAGCACATGTCTAATTGTTTAGTTAATATATATTTGCCTAATTGTTTTTCTTCAACAGAAAACCCATAATTTATATGTTTTATACATACATTTATCAGATATTTTGCCTTTTCAGTTACAGATATTTGAGATAAATGTATTTACTATAAATTTGCTTTTAAGTAAAAATATAATCTTCAAGTACTTTCTAATTCTCAAAGTTATTGTTAAAACTCATAAGATGATAAACAAATGTAATTCTGTCTACAAAATATCTAAAAAATTTAACTATATTTTCATTGATATTTCTTATCAAAGTACAATAATTTGTTTATAGATTTTAAGGTTTTCAGAAATTGTTCCAAAGTATAACCAGAAAAAAATTCTAAAAGAAAAAGATGCTTCAACAAAGAGAAAGCACACATTGGATCCTAAAAAGAAGAAAGAAATCATTTTGGGGTAAAACAAGGTCTTTATATTCATATTTCAATGAGAAAAGTATTTTCCTAAATAAAGACATTTTATATTATTGTATAAACAAATGATGTAAAAAGTTAGAACAATTAAAAAAAAGATTTATATATACTGGACTGACTATAAAAAATTTTAACTGATTAATTCAAGGATATTTCAGGCTATTTTCCTAGATTGACTATACTGATGTGAGCTAAGATTTTGTCCATATTTTAACACGATAAGCATCTATTAAAATGTAAGTTTATTTCCTTAAAGATCCTTATTGCCTAATAATTTTTACTGTTTAAGACAAAGATTAATTTTGGTAAATAAATTCACATCGTTTATTAAACACTAAATATATTGAACTACTAACTTAAATCCCAATTTTGACAATTGTCCTTTGAGATTAAATTTGATTGATTGTGAGACACTAAGACACTGTTAATTCTTACATATTTTGTTTATTAGATAATTATGAGATTTAGAAAACATTTTGTTAGGATTGAAGTTCTCCAAATTAAAGCTATATGTTACTTTTGAGCAATAAAGTTTACAAACTTAAAAAATTCATTGATTATATATAAAATTCTCTGGCTTGACCTATTATAAAAAATACAGTAAGATTTATATAGAGCTCCAGACACTAGGAAATAACCTTAATCATATTTTTAAAAGACAATTAAGAAATAGCTATTTAAAAGATAATATTCTAAAATATACAGATATTTTGAAACTTTCTCTCAAAAAGAGATTGAGGGTTCTTTCTAAATTGTTAGGATGGATTGACTAGCTTATATTGGAAAATTATAATAATCAATAAAAGGTAAATCTATTCTTAATCATTTAAATACTGGTACTATTGTCTATAACTTAAACTAATGATAATATGACTTATGCCAAGCCTTTACTCAATTTTATTAATAAAAAAAGGGGAAATATAGGACCCCAGAGAGAGACACACTGGATTTTACAAATATTTCAAGTTTTTTCTTAAATTGTAATATTGAGAGTCTTAATGTTACTGAGCATGATTCAGTAAATTAAATCAGATATCAAAGGAGAGTTTTAACCAATCATCATGTTAATGACTGAGAAACCTGGCCTAGGAAGGTCAATTTCCAGCTACAGAGTTTACAACCATGCAGCTTCATGAGCTTGTCAGGTAAGTAAAAAATATGAAAAGACTTGTATGGACCCATTTCCCAGGTCTACCTTTAATGTGTCTTGCAGTGTGGACTGGAAAGTCCACCCATGAAACTAGATTAATTGTCCTGACTGTAATGGTCAATTATACCTATATATTGATTCTGTGGTAAACAGACTGTCTGGAAGTATCTTTTGAGAAAAAGACAGTGTTGAAATAATGGATTGTTCCACATCCTTATAGATGGCAGCTATGGACCAGATGTGAGTAACACCAACTAAGGGCCAGTTATCTATGAGGGATCATGCCCTGAGTCTTAGTACTGCTCTCTTCATCTATCTGTGTCTCTTGGCCTTGTCACAATATTACTGTTTGTCTGTCGATGGCCTGTCTCCTTCCTTCCTGAATGCAGCCCCACCAGCCCAGTGCCATGAGCTGGGCCCTCCATGGAGAAGAAACTTGAGTTTGCTGATCCTAGGGTAAATGCTGGCGTGGAGGCCATGGGGGCATAATCTATCAAGGAGACAGAGAGCCCCCTTGGGGACGATGCCTTGCACACTCCACATCACCCTGTTTGGCCCCGGAGGATGGCTGGTTAGTCAATGACGGGTAAGATTCCTCAAGGGAGGGACAACCTAAGACAGGCACAGTCGCAGAGGGGCCATCAGGAGAAAATTTTGGGGCCAACA